GTCGTTTATGTATAGGGAAAATAGGAGTGGAGAAAGCACGGCGCCCTGTGGGACGCCGGCTTGGATGGAGTGGTTGGGAGATTTTTTGGAGTGATTTTGGACATAGAAGGATCTGAGGGTAAGGTAGCTTTTGAGTAGAGAGTGGATGTGGTCAGGGATACGAAGACGGATTTTTGCTAGGAGAATAGGGTGAGATATAGTGTCATAGGCTTGGGTGAGATCAGTACGGATGGTTCCAGTTTGTTGGATGTAAGATAAATTGTCTAGTAAAAAATCGTTGTACAAGAAAGTAAATATAAATAAGTTAAACATCACTTATTAATAATCTCACCAAAAATTTAATTTATGCATAAACTTACGTTAACGTTTTAGGTGGAGGGCCACCAGTGTCAATACGTGTCGATAGGATCCATGAGGAAATTAAAGATTTCATGGGTCCAGCAGCGGAGGGAATGGACAATCCCTTTGATCCAGATGGGCAGAACTTGCTAAGTAATATATATTTCAATACATTTAATGCAGTGTAAATAGTAATGTTCTCAATTGAAGAACAAAGATATAATCTAAAAGCCGTAAATTATCGAGCTTAACTGAGAATGTTTTGGTTAAAATTTGAATTAGTGTGCATGTTTAATTGTTTAAAAATTTGTTATTTAAAGTATAGTAGCATCAGGCTTAGATTTTCATGTTGCGTGTGCATTACACATTGTTCTTCATTAATGCTCCCTTATTCCAATGCACGTTATATTACTGCTTTTATTAGTTTTATCTTCTCTATTATTCAGGGCTCAATGAGGTTTCCGTTCATATAACTGAAGATGAAGAACTCTGAGGTGAGAACAGAACTGAATGAATTTAATGTTGCAAAGGTGGAGTTACAACTCACTGTAATACTGGTGGTTGTTAATAAATTACATAAATTGTATAATTTGAGCAATACTTTTAATTAGGCCTATATGCCTAAGGAGAGAGGCTTATTCAGTGTCTAGTAATTATAAATCAACCGATACATTTTCTTGTGAAATTTTCTCTTAGGTCCTACAGGTCCTGTTAGCACAAATTATTCCAGAAATGCTACGAAGAGACAAGCACGTGAACCATTCTTGTCTCAAAAGTGGTGAAGTTTGTTGCAGTATATTCCAAGATTTTCATAATAAAACAGTTAAAGTTCGCCAGCTTAGCTGAGGACTGATGTGTCCCCTTTGGGCAGTACGAGTAGTAATGAAGACCCTGCCACAGCCGCCAACACCTGCTGGTCGTTGGTTCTCCAGGAGGCGTACCCGGATGCAAGACACCGATGATGTTAGGATGAAAGCACTACTGGCAATAGAGCATTTTTATCAAAACGAAAACCTGCGAAACCAGGAGTTGCACTACAAGCTGTTTGCAATGTATTTGGCACATTAAATCAAGGATATTATCCACGAAAGAAATAATACTTTTTGGACACCTACTGCGAAGAAAAAGGTGGAAATTATTTAAATGTAGTATGGTATTCATTCATTACAATTTTTGGAATGGTAACTGCATTATGTTTATCTTTCTTTTTTTCCCATTAATGTCTCAATGTACAGAATACTGAGCAATTCCAATGTGATCTGCGCTTTCACACTTAGATGTCCATGACAAGTTGTGGTGACGCGATGGGGTGAGTCAATGGGAATAAGGGCCACCTCCTTCACCGACTGCCTGACGCACCCCGCTGCACGCTGATACCGGTGCCAACCTTCGCACCTTCGCCAAGCTCCCGGCTGAAGCACCCTGACATTTGACCCTGGACTCACAGGCGCCCATATAACCGGGGGCGCGGCTCGACCCGGGGAGCCTCCAGCGACTCTCCACCAAGCGAATCACCCTGGCCTCCCAACGGCAACCAGGCGCTCTGGTCCGTAGGGCTGGAACTGTCACGTGGCTCCCCGCGATCCGGAAGGCGCGCTCGCCCGAAGTGAATCACCCTGGCCTCCTGTCGGCAACCAGGCGCTTTGCACGGACGCAACGCCAACTAGACACGTAAATAATGACGTCGCCGCCAGCCGTCACGTAGTTGACGGCAACGAGGCGTCTCGGACGGACGCAACGCCAACTGGACGCGTGGATAAAGACGCCGCCGCCAGCCGCACCGCCAACCGCCACCCACACTGCTGCCCCTGAGTGACTTGTCCGCGGCCCTTCATCATGCAAGTGTATCATTCTGTGTGTTAAGTCTTATAAATAAATAGGTCATTAACTAGAGTTTGCCACATTAGTGCCCCCTCCCGCTCCCTCCTCATGTCGTCGGCGTCACGACACATGAATAGATAATTTAAAATGAAACACTCCGTAAACACATTGCAAGAACCTTGATAGATATGATACGGCCTTCACTTTGCGAAAACGCTACCCGATTTCGATGGAAACGCTAGTGCTGCTTTCTTTGCGATTTTTGCGAGAGGGGATTTTGGCGATGGAAACCGTATTAGGTTTATATTTTTTTCCATTAATGGTATCTCGCAGAATGAATAATACTCAACAAGCCCAATGTGATATGTGCTGTCACTCAGATGTCCATGACCTGTATTTGGCACAATAAACAAGGATATTATCCATGGACGAAATAATACTTTTTGGAGATCTACTGCGAACAATGCTGAAGTACCGTACAAGAAAGGTGAAAATTAATTTTAATGATATATTTTCGCATTCATTTTTGAATTTTTGTAATGCAAACTGTTTAAGTTTCTTGGCGTACTTGCCATCAAGATTCTCTTGGAATTTACAGGAATTTAGAAAGCGAAATTTAAATGCTCAGAGAGACAGTGCCGCTAAGGCTGATGGTGGAAATGTGATCGAGATGGAGTGAGAAGTTAGAGAGTTCGAGACAGATGACACAGACGAGATGAAATAGATCGAGTTTGAGACTTACTAAGACAGCGCTTTGAGTGCACAGATTAAGGAACGAAGTGCTTCGAGTTTGGACATTTACGTGAACGCTCAGGCGACAAGTTCACTTCAACTTCGAAAATGATCTCGGCATCACGTGAGCCTCGAGGAAGGCATTATTTCCTGCGCTTGACAGCCTAAATTGTCACTACGTTCGTGAGTACGTACGTGATAGTCACGGTAGGCTTTGATCGCCGCATTGTGTCCGGAACACCGTCGCCACCGAGGACGGGACATCGCCACTGCGCGACAAGAGGGGCCCGCCCGTCAGCGGGAGGGCAGAGGTGCCGCGTGCAAACGCCGAGGTGCCGTGTGCAAACTCCTGGGAGCCGACGCGCGCCGCCCGCTGGCCGGGAAACCTAAGAGTCACTGCAGTTTCCCCCCCACCATCGTCTAGCCTAACGGTGACGTCACGGCTGGGTGTTTGCTATTGGCCAGCCAAGACTAGCATTACTCTTGACCTGCAACTCATCCGAGCGACTTTTCCAACGTTCTCTGCTTCCTTGTAGCGCGTACTTCCGTATAGCGCTGTGTAGCGAACGCTTTGTGCGTTTTTTGTGTTGTGTGAGAGACGTCGATGCTAGTCTTGGCTGGCCAATAGCAAACACCCAGCCGTGACATCACCGGTAGGCTGGGCTGATGGTGGGGGGAAAACTGCAGTGAATCTAAGGTCACCCCCGCTGGCCGGCCACAACAGCTGACAGCAACACTCGCATCGCTACTACCTGCGAAGTCGGCTGCGGCCGCCCAGAGGTTGCAGGGCCGTGCCCCTACTCAACAAAGCAATAACGACATAATGCATGTTATTGTTATAGGATAGATTGACTGGAAAGCATCGAAACATTTCAAATTAATTCTAGGAGTTTCTAGATGCGCAGCAAATGCCGGAGTCTTAAGAGAGGTCGGTAGTATAAGAATTTGGAGAGATTTTAAAATGAAACCTATTAAACTTTGGATTAAATTAGTAGATGAACAGGCTGACACACTTATACATAGGTGCTTTAGAGTAACTGCAGGGAAGCGACCATCGCTACTAGCCGTACAAAAAGTGCTACTTGAACGCGCAATGTTGGGAGACGTCTCTCCGGAAATGGTGGGAGATAGGGGAACCCGTGAGATAGAACGGCTGATTTCCGATAGACTTGCGGATATTAAAAGGCAAGAGATCTGGGCAGCAACGGCTGAAAAACGTTCGCTAGTAGCTCAAATCCATGCGAGTCCGTTATGGGGTTGCGAAAGTTACGTACATACTCTCGGAAAGGACGCAAGAGGGGGATACGCTTGGTTCAGGGTTGGGGTGGATGCAGCGTAGACTAAAAGACGCAAATGGTAATGGCATCTGTATGCTTTGCGGTGAAAGGGAAGACTGGATCCACATCCTCTTAATTTGCTATGCAACCGAAACATGGAGAAGAAAATGGATGGGAATTACAAATTACTACTTTCTAAACAGGAACGTAACACTCCCGAACATTTCAGGAGATAAAAGATCTAAATTTATGAAAGAATTAGGAACATTTTTAGGAAAGGTTCGGACCATTAGGGAATCAAATTAGGGAGTGGGAAAACAGCACTGGTTAGCTTGAGCGGAGACTAGACTGGTGAGAAATAAATAAGTCAATAAGCTAACATTAAGTAAGTTAATCAGTAATTTTATGTTAAGTTAGTAAACAGTTAAGAAATGAGTCATAAGTCGTATTCAAATGGTAAAAGGTCAATATAATAAATAAAATAAATCTGGCATAGTAATAAGCACATTAGGGGGGGAAGGGAAGGGGGGACCGAAAATGTAAGGGCAGAGGCGTTGGTGCGGACGATCTTCTGTGGCGCTGTTTGATTTCAGGTGCTGAGGAGACCAAGTACTGGAAGGGGACGGCGGGACACCCGCGCCAGAAAATAGTTAAAATAAACGTCTGACAGATTAGTATGAACTCTGCTTCTGACGGCAGGTTTTTCCCCCTTCAGGGTTTTTTTCCTGAGCCGTACCTTATGGTGTCTTTTCCGCGGCTTTGATGCGATGGAGAGACCATTTGGGGTGAATACCAAAATTCGAAAGATTAGAACGCGAAAGGATGTAGGTATTGTAATGGCTTAAAGGCCTTTGGCCGAGCCACATAGGACCAAGTAAGCTAATTTGTCTGTAATAATTACCTATTAAATAAAGTTTATATAAATATTGTGGTCACCGTTTTACGCTTTTCCCTGCCATGAACGCGGGCGAGCCTCAATGAAAAAAGTGTAGTTCCCATGAGGCGGCAAGTCATTTTTGAGTGGTAGGAATAGAACCTGCCTATGTACACCCAAATAAAAATTTAATTTTATGTAACTTATTATTCACGTGCATGCTCATATTCTTCCTGATAATTTTCATTCTAAATTAAGTGTGTTAGAAGAGCATATCTGTCTGCATCCAGAACATCTGGGCAGGTTATGCTTATTGAAATAAAATGAGTACAGTAAACATCTTACAATAAATTTCTTATTTAGTGCAAAAAAGGCTTTTATAATTTCCGTAGAACTGAACAACCAATTACTGAAACGGAAGTCTAAATGAAATTATTTAACAGGAAACTTATATTTCAGCATAAAAACCCTGGTTTTGGTTCAGAATATCTGTTTATCATAAAAGAATAATTGCAGCATTTATACATACATTTTATTTTAAGTGTATATATTACCATCTCAGTTAAAGGTATGAAGAAGCTTAAATATGAGGGGATGCAATTGATTATAATTTCTGTGTAATATCTCATATGAAAATTCTGAATACTTTGTTTACGTTTTTCTCAGCTTCTGATAATATTCAGATACGTATTCTATATTGTACAGTGTAGCCTCACTTAAGTTTCTTTGGATTTATATTTTTTGTTAATTTTTAGGGATGAAATTTAAATAATGTTCTTCAACCTCAAATCAAACCAAAAATTTTCTCGCTCAATATATGAGCCCTACGTCTTTGGTAATGGTTGGAACTTATTCAGTATTTAATTCTGAGTTTACGTATGCTATTTGTAAGTCATATATAAGTTATTATTTGTATTTTATTTTGAATTTTAGGAATGATAATTATAAATTAAATTACCAACTTAATTTATTTTTGGTAATTAAATTACAAGCTGTGGCTTTTCTGGCACGTTATAAGTGCTCAATCATTTCTAAAGCATTGCATACCTCAGATTTTGTTTGCAACACTGCCTGCCTAGCTGTTTTACACTAAAACTGTTTATTTTTCTGTACATCGTTCCATAGG